AGGAAGTAGGGGGGGGGGGGGAGAGGAGACGGAGGGAGGGTAGAGAGCTCACAATGATCGGGGGCGGACAACTTCTGCCCCCCCCCCCCCCCCCGTCCCACGCAAGTGGATCTCCACAAGGCTCCAGACCCTGCATTTCTTATCCAAGGCCTCCACGGTCTGCTAGTGGGATGGGTGGGTTAACCGCCCCCGAGGGGTGAGACGAGGCTTTGACAGAAGCGGTCCGTAGCACCGCCTAGTTTGAAGTTGGGGGGGCGATGCCGCGGGGATCGATTGCGCGTTCACCCGCGCGCAAGCTGCCCGCGGATTTGTTTGCATCGGCGCCGTCTTATTCACGCAGCCTGCCGCGTCTTATCCATGATCTGGTGCAGGAGCAGGTGGAGGAGGAGGGGGAGGAGGGCGAGGAGGAGGCAAGGGAGGAGGAGGGGGAGGAGCAGCAGGACGAGAAGGAAAATGAGGAGGAGGAGCAGCAGGACGAGGAAGAGGAGGAGGAGGAGGAGGAGGAGGAGGAGGAGGAGGAGGACTAGTGTGGCCAGGAGGAGGAGGACGACGGGGAGGGGGATGCCAGGGTGGTGCTGCTTGAGAAGGTGCACGAGCAGGTGCTTGTTGCGGAGGACCGAGGAGGATGAGGTGGTGGACGTCAAGGAGGAAGGGGGTGGATGTCCTCCTCGCGGCCTTTGGGCGTGACCCGCGGTTCTCCGCCGGGACATTGCAGCGGGGGGTCCCCATTCCACGCTGCTGCCTCTGATGTACTAAGTGTGACTATACTGGGGCGTTTTATGATTGTTTCTGATTTTTCGTTCAAAATCTCCCTGTGGGGGGGCAGGCCCGATTTAGGCCAAGGCCCGCGCCCGCTCGTCCGCCGAGAGGATGCCGCGGCCCCCCCCTGTCGACGAAGGTCGCGATGTGGCTCCCCGGCCTGCGGTCTGGCCGTAGCAAGAGGTCCAAGCTTCCTAGATGGGGTCGGAGTAGATGGGGTCAGAGGATCGTGCCGCGTCGCCGATGCATCGCCGATGCGGCTCCATGTGGGGCCCACTGTTCTCCACGCCGATGTCGCCGATGCAGCGCCGACGTCGCCAGTGCATCGCCGATGTATCGGCGATGCGGCGATATCTTCCGCCCCCATCCACTCGGGCCCCATCTAAGGAGGCCTCCATGAGGGGCTATTACCTGGAGGGCGGTGCTGTCGGAGACCTGTGCCAGCTCTGCTGAGGCGGGTTGCTTCCGTATTTTTTGGGGTCGGCATCGGGGCAGTCGTCGCAGCTGTTTCTCGGATGAGTGCCCGAGTGGCCGAGAGGCCAGCCCCCCCCCTCCGCCGCACGAGAGGCCGCACCCCCCCCCCCGCCGAGGCGCAAGCGCGTCGGGCCGGAGGCCCCGCGCCCGCGTTCGCGCGCTCGCCGCGGCAGGACCTCGAGGGGATGCCGCTGCCCATCGCCCACAAAGGGAAACTCGCGGAGGAGCCAGCCGCCGCCGCCGCCGCCGCCCAGGTGCACGGGCAGGATTCCCGACGCGTTCGGGCGCTGTGGGTGCAGGTCCTCGGCGGTATTCCGGCCCAGGGATGGTCCTTCCAGCGGGCCGAGAGCTTTTCGGTAAACGGCCCAGATCATCCCGAGCGGCCGACGGGGAGCCGGGCTATGGCCCATTGACACATCAGGCATTTCACTGGGCCGCCAAGGTTTCGCTTCGCGGCGAGGGAAGAAGCACGATGACCGTGACGAAAATGTCGCGGGGTCTGGTGGGTGCAGTTTTTGGTCGTGGCCAATGCTGGCCGTCGCAGGTTCGAGAGGATGATCCACGCACAGACGGTAATGAACCAATGTCCTCGCTCTACCCCCCTCCCGACGGGGGCAGCTCGCGGAGGAGCCGCCCGCGCCGTCGTGGGGGAGCTCGCGGAGGAGCCTCGGAGAGGTGAAGACGGCAGGTTCCCTGGCCCCCTTTTTTGGGGGGAGGGGGGGGGCCCTCGGTGGGCGCCCTCGTGGCCACGGCTGGCTGCGCCCGGACTTTTCATCGGAACGCGCTCAGGACGGGTCTGAAGGGTATGTGGCCGCTGGCGTCGTCGCCGCTCCTGGGAGGCTGCCTCCGTCCAACCATCCGGAGGCTCCCTCTCCCGTCTCTCGAGGGTCTTCGGGAGCTTCTGGGGCCCCTGGGCGCGTCGGGAGGGAGCGAGGGCCGCCACAGTCACCCCCTTCTGCGGGGGGGGCAGGCGGAGGGGGCCAGTGGCGGGGTGTATATGTCGGCGGCTCGCAGGAGGAGGCGGGGCACGGGGGGGGCGGCGGGGCGGCTGCCGAGAGCGCAGGGGGCCTCTCAGGGCTCCTCGCAGCTGATCCACCGATCCTGAAGTTTGAAGGCTCGAACAGCTGCGTGCACGGGTGGAGGACGGCTTGCTTTAAAGGTTGCGCTCTCGTTAGAGATATTGTCGCATCAGTTTGAAGCGTGATTTTCCCAACGCTTCATGGACGGAGGGCTGTGATTGCCAAATCTCGCTCTCGCTCGAGATCTCTCAATCTATGCCACCAAGCGCGAACTTCCCAGCCGTTGTACGGAGGGTGGCAGTGTTTCAAAAACGCGTTCTCGCTTCGGCTACGTGCACATTCTTCGTCAATGTTCTACGAGCCGCATGGATGCGGGCGATTCCCTTTCAAAACCATTGTCTTATGACACACAACGACGAGGTCGAATGTCTTCGTGAGTATTGACTCGTTCTGAACAGCCGTGAAGGCTCTCACCAACTCACAATTTGGCCAATGCCTGTCACTTCCTGTGGCAGGGCTATCGGTGGCATGGGCAAGAAGCGCATCTCTATCCACGGCATTACGGCCTGCACTCCTCGGCAGCGACCTCAATGGATGCAGGGTGGCGTTGCGAGAGCACCCCCCGCGCGGAACGCATCCGTAGGATCGCGCCTCCACAGGATCGCGCCTCGGCGTCCTGGCCGTGAGGGCACGGATGTGGGCACGCTCGTCGCTCGCGAAGAGGGCTCTGACCTTGCCGGCCTCTGCAGGGGCGGGCGGGCCGTGATGCCGCCGCCGCGAAGCAAGCGGGCCCTTGGGAGAACAGCGGGCCCCAGGGCCGTCCGAGAAAATCGCTCGTGGGGAAGGGATGGCCCCAGGGGGGGGGGAATGCCCCCAGGGGTCCAGGGTCTGTTTTCTCTAGAGGGCCCGTTTCCTGCGTGGGTAAGGTTAGGAGTTCCCAGAGGGTCATACGCCTTCAGAACATGGAAGCTCGCCCCCCCCCCTCTGGAAGCGTTTGCCCTCCACTCTGGATGTCTTGTCACCAGAGGTTTTACTCGGAAAATACTGGAGGCCTCGCGCGGCGCAATCATGACATTATCTTGTCCGCACGTCCGCCCCGCCAGATATGGGACGACGTTCGCGCGGCGATTTTTCGACGTAGGTCCGACGTGGATCCGACGTAAAGCCGACGCGAATTGACGAGGATCCGACGTGGATCCGACGTAGACCGGGTCTCGAGCTGCCGCGCGGGGCCTCCAGGATCTTCCGCATAAGATGTTGACTTTCCAACGTGGAGGTTCTCGATGCCCTTGTGTTCCCATAGTGCGGCAGGCGGAGATAGCTGGTGGTTCCATCATGAGGTCCGTGGTCCGCTCCCATACACTCTAAACTCTCTAAACATTGCCTGACGCTGAGACTGGCCATCGCACCGCGACGTTTCACCCTGGAGGTGGCGGCCGCTTGTGGGGTTGTTTGCCGTGCTGGATTATCCGAGCGAAGGACCCATCCATGTGTAGTTGCGAGTATCGCGATGCAGGTGAGATGAAGGAGGGGGTCAGCAAAAGGCCTGCGGCGTGAACGGGAGAAAGAGCACGCATGGGCGAGCGTGCAGTCTTCTCGGTTTCGCCCGAGCCCTGGGCGCCGCCGTTTCGTGCCCATCTCCTGGCCAGCTCTTCCTCCCCTCCGTTTGTTTCCGTTGTGCGTTGTGTTCCTGCCGCCTGGCCCGCGACTGCCCGAGCCCTGGGCTCCGCCGTTTTGCACCCATGTCCTACATTCATCTTTCTCCGCTCTTTGTTTTTCCGCCTTGGCACGGCCCTTGGCAGAGCGCTGCGCGGAGGCCCCGCGACGCGCTCTGGTCGCCCGGAAGGACTCCTGGCGACGCGCGCGGGTCGTCCGCGGCACGAAGCAGGGCCCTGCAGGCCCTCCGAAGCCTTGTTGGGCCCTGGTAGGCCCTACTGAGCCATGCTTAGCCATGCTAAGCCTTGCTAGGCCCTGCCACGCCCCGATACGCCTTGCGAAGCCGTGATAAGCCTTGGTCAGCCCTGCCAATCCCTCCCAAGTTTTGCAAAGCGTTGCGAAGACCGGCTAGACCTGGTTAAACTTGGCTAGGCCACGCTGAGCCTTGCTGGGTCGTGCCACACTTTGCCAATCCCTGCCAAACACTGCTAGGCCCTTCTAAGCTTTGCCAATCCCTGCCAAGCCCTGCCAGACCCTGCTCAGCAGCCCCGCTGCGCCCTGATAGCCATGCTACGCCCTGCTAAGCTCTTCTCAGCCCTGCCCAACCCTGACAAGCTCTGCTAGGTCTTGCGGGGACCTGCTCTGCCCTGCTAAGAGCCGCTCAACTCTTCTCACCCCGGCCAAGCCGTGCTAAGCGCTGCCAAGCCCTGCAACGACCTGAGAAGCCCTGCTGAGGTCTCAGCCTTGCTGAGCAGTGTCCTCATCGCTGCCCTTCGTGGCCTCGACGCTGCCCTTAGTGGCCCCATTGCTGCTTTGTTCGGCCCCAAATGTGCCAACCGTGCCCCCCGGCCGCTCGTGCCCTCAGTGGCCCCATTGCTGCCCTTCGTGGCCCCAGCGTAGCTGGGCAAACCAGCACCACAGACCGAAGGAGCACGGCAGACCAGCAGATCTGACCAGAGGATCAGCGCAGACCGCAGCAACACTGCAAACTACCACGGGGGACCATGACGGCAAACCAGCACGGCAGACCAGCACGGCAGACCAGCATGGCAGTCCAGCGCGGCAGACGAGCACGGCAGACCACAGGAGCACGGCAGACCAGCATGGCAGAACACTCCGTATCCATTTTGGCTCAAGCCGATGTGTGGCACGGTCTCCCGCGGGCCCCGCGGCGGTGGTGTGGCATGGGGGCTGCTCTCGTCGAGGCGGCGGCAAAGAGCGCCGCCGAGGGCGGAGGCAGCCGCAAGGTTGTGGCAGCGGCGGTCGCTGCGGCCTGCAGGTGCGTCGCGGCTTCGGCGCAGCCCGCGCAATCCGGAGGCGACGGCGTCAAGGAGCTCGCGGTGCGCCCCGCCGAAATGGCTCCGGCGATGCTGCAGCGCATCCGGGGGCAGTGGCCCGACGGGCAGGCGCGCTCGCGCCGCAACGTCGGCGCTCACTGGCGCCTCGGCGAGGCTGGTCTCCCGATCGAGCAGCTCGAGGAGGCCCTCCTGGACCCGCAGCGCTCGCAAAGGGGGGCGCGTCAGCACGTGCAAGACATGGTGGAGAAGTCCGACGTGAAGGATGGCGCCGCCGAGGGGTCCACGGAAAGCGGATCGGCCTCGGAGACGGAGGACAAGCCGCTCTCCGAGCTCATGAAGCAGGTGTCGGGCGAGGAAGTGCAGCAGGAGTCCGACGGTAAGTGCGTGAAGCTGGCGATGGTGCTGGCGATTCCCGCGAGCGAGGTGGCGCAGCTCAAGGCCCAGCTCGCAATGGCGACCAAGGCTGAGAGCGGGGAGGAGGTCCAGGAAGGCATCGACAACCCCGTCAAGATGAAGGTGAACCCGGAGATCGGGGAAGCGGCGCAGGAAGGCATCGGCAACCCCATCTTGAGTAAGGTGAAGAGAGAACCGCCCAAGAAGTGCAAGGAGCTCAAGGAGCCGCACTACGAGGATGGCGACAAGGAGGAGACCGCGATCCTAGCAGAGTCCCACGAGTTCGAGGGTAAGCAGCAGGAGCGCGGGGTCGCGTGGGCGATGCAGACGGAGATCGGGGAGGAGGTGCAGCATGGCATCGACAGCCCCATCATGATGAAGGTACAGATCGAGACGCCCACGAAGTACACGGCGCCCAAGGAGCCGCACTTCGAGGATGGCGACAAGAAGAAGATCGAGAACCACGAGTTCGACGGCAAGAGCTGGAACTCGGGGGCATCGTCGCGAGGGCCGGGGGCGTCCTGCAGGGCCCGAAGAGGGCGCGGCCGGAGGCCGAGCTCAAGGGGCACGTCGTCGACATCCTTGCGGGCGTGGACCTCGCCCAGACCTCCGTCCTCGACGTCTCCGAGCGGCTGGCAGCCAGGGGCGCGGCGCGGTCGCCCTGGGCCGAGGCGACCGCCAGGGCCCTCATTGCCCAGCTCGTGAAGGAGGCCCAGGGGCGGAGGGACAAGTGCGAAGCCGCGGGCGTCGCGGCCACGGCCTCCAAGCCCCGGCGCGAGGCAGCAGGAGCTGGGCGGCTTGGTGACGGCTTTCTGCATGGAGCTAGGCAGGCCGTTCAGCGAGTTCGCTTCCCCGAACCTCCGCGAGGTGTCCGAGGCCAGCGGGCGTGAATGTCCTCCGCCCGCGGCTGTGTGCTTTGGCGGCAGCCCTGGCGGCGGCGGGTGACCGCGGCCGCCTGGCTCGCGAGCAGGGCGGCGGCCGCGCGCGGGGACAGCGGGCCCCAGGGCGTCGAGCCCTAGTTTGAGGGCTTCTTCCTGGGGGCCCCGCCCGCTCCTAATGCCGCGCGCGCGCGTGTGTGTGTGTGTGTGTGTGTGTGTGTGTGTGTGTGTGTGTGTGTGTGTGTGTGTGTGTGTGTGTGTGTGTGTGTGTGTGTGTGTGTGTGTGTGTGTGTGTGTGTGCGTGCGTGCGTGCGTGCGTGCGTGCGTGCGTGCGTGCGTGCGTGCGTGCGTGCGTGCGTGCGTGCGTGCGTGCGTGCGCGTGCGCGTGCGTGTGCGTGTGCGTGTGCGTGTGCGTGTGCGTGTGCGTGTGCGTGTGCGTGTGCGTGTGCGTGTGCGTGTGCGTGTGCGTGCGCGTGTGCGTGTGCGTGTGCGTGTGCGTGTGCGTGTGCGTGTGCGTGTGCGTGTGCGCGTGCGTGTGCGTGTGCGTGTGCGCGTGCGTGCGTGCGTGCGTGTGTGCGTGTGTGCCTGCGTGTGTGTGTGTGTGTGTGTGTGTGTGTGTGTGTGTGTGTGTGTGTTTGTTTGTGTGTGTGTGTGGGGTGGGGGGGGGGGGGCCTGGCGTCTGGGGGGACCTAAGTCGTGCCCGTCGGCTGGCCCGCCTCCGCCTGCCCCGTCTTTGCGTGCGCTGGAGGGCTCCTCCTTTGCCCAGCTTTCGTTTTCACTTACAGCAGGGCAGAGCGCGGCAGCGCCGCAGACCGCAGCAGCGCGGCAGACCAGCGCGGCGGAGGCGTCCGTAGCCATGTTGGCTCAAGCCATGCCCTTGCGCGCGCGGCGCGCGGGCGCTTGGGCGCGGTGGCGCGGGGGGTTCTGCGAGGCGCAGCTGGCGCCCGCGCCTCCGCGGGCCGCCCCGCGCAGCGGCTGGCGCGCGAGCTGGCCGGGGCCCGGGGCGAGGCAGCCGGACTTCCGCGGGCTGCTCGAGGCGAAGCTCGACGCCGACGGGGGCCGCGAGGCGCCGCTGCGCGAGGCGATCGCGCGGCCAGTTCCGGAGGCCCGCGTCGCGGGCAGGGCCGAGGCCCCAGCGGCCAGGCGGCAGCGCAACGTGGCATGGCACGCCGCTTTCTGCCCCGAGGCTGGGGCGGAGCCGCCTGCCTGGCGCAAGGCCGAGCGCGGGCCCCGTCTGGGCGCAGCTCCCAGCCGAGGGCAGCGCGGCCGCCGCTGGAGATAGGTCGAGATCTGCGTCGCCGAGCCCGCCGTGGAGCTCGAGCGACCAGCGAAGCCGAGGGCGCGCCTTCGGTCAGGCGCCGGGCTCTCCCGGTCGCGGCGCGCGCCGCTGCGGAGCGGGGCCGCGCCTTTCGCGCCCTTCCGCCAGCTGAGCTGCGACGGGGGCCGCCGAGAAGGCGCTCGCGGCGATGGGCGGCGGGCCCCTGGCCCCAGTTGACCGGGCAGAGCTTGGCCCTCTCTGCGAAGGGGCTTGCATGGCAGACGCGGAACAAGAGGGGCACGGCGCAGCAGCTCACCGGGAGCCGCGTCGTGCCGAGAGCCCCCAGGCGGGCGGCGCGGCAGGCGCGAGTGCGCCGCCGCCGCCGTTGGATCACTTGGGGGGCTAACAGGAGAGCAGGGCGACAGCAGCCACGGCGAGGGCGAGAGCGCCGACGGGAGCCAGGTCAGCACGGTCTGCTCCGCGACCCTCCTAGCCGCCGTCGCCGAGAGCAGCGACGCTGTCGCGCCGCGCCTGACGACGCCGCGCACCTCCGAGGTGCCATCGATAGCGTCGGGCGCGAGGGGGGCGGCGACGAGGCGCGCGAGGACAACCGCAGCGCCTGCGAGCAGAGCGCAGCGGAGCACGACGGGCTGGAGCAGGCGGGCGAGAGGTGCGAGCAGCGGGTGCAAGCCCTGGCGCTCGGCGAGCTGATGGCGCGAGGTCAGCGTCTTGCCCCGCCCCGGGCGCCCTGGCGGAGCCCGCTGTGGAGCCCAAGAGCGGGCGGGCCGATGTGCAGGCGCTGGCGGGGCCGCCAGCTGCCCTCGGCGGGGGGCGCGCCATGGTCTGGGCCAGCGGCTTCGGCGAGGCTCGCGCGGCGGAGCCTGGGTGCCTGGGGCGGGGCCGCGACGGGCCCGAGGAGCGGGCGAAAGTGGCCCTCGTGGCGGAGCGCGGCTGCCAGCGATTCGAAGGTTTCCCCTGGGGCGTCGCTGGGCGGGCACCGCGCGGCCGCGTCGACGGCGTCGCGGCGGCCGAGAACTGGCTCTGCGCCCCTGGGCGGAGTTCCGATGCCGAGCGCGAAGCCACTGAGGGATTCCAGGCTCTCGACGGGATTTCGTCGGAGGACGGCGAGGGCGAGGGGCCCTTGGGGCCAGTCCGAAATGGATATCGCGGAGCCAGGCAGGCGGGTCACTTTCCTCCCGCGGGTCGCGGCTGCTGCGCCGCTGGGCGCGGGCATGGCGATCCAGAGATGGGTGGGCCTCAGCGTTCGACGACTTTCATCTCGCCAGGCTCGGCGGCAGCTCGTCTCGGTGGGAGAGCTCCGTTGCGCGAGCCTGGCAGCGTTGAGCGTCGGGCGCGGGCCTTGCGGGAGGCCTTGGGGAGCGCTGCGGCGCAGACCCTTGCCATGGATGCACGCGCGCGGGCCGTGCGGGAGGCCTCGGGGAGCGCTGCGGCGCAAACCCCAAAAGGCGAGCGTGCGAGTGGGCCCTGCGGGAGGCCTTGGGGGGGCGCTGCGGCGCAGACCCTAAATTCACGTATGTTGTGCGGGAGTGGCCCCCTGCATGAATGTGTTCTGCAGTTCGTGCCCCCGCCAGTCGCGAGGGGGCTCTCGGCGACCCCGCATGGGCCTGGGAAGCTCGTGATGGCTGCGGGCGTGGCCTCCTGCAGTCGCATGTCCTCTGCAGTTTGTGCCCCCGCCTGTCGGGGTGCGGGATTGGCCCCCCTGTAGTTTGCATGTGGGCTGCAGTTTGCGCCCCCGTCTGTGGCGAGGAGGTTCGCCATGCCTTTCGGCGACCACTGCGGGGCGGAGGTTCGGGATGGAGCGGGCATCGGCCCCGTCGGCGTTGCTTGGCGGCGCGTGCCCCCTATCCCGCCGCCCCTCGGCCTGGCCAGGAGGGTTGGGGCCGTAGAGGCTCCTCCCTGGGGCGTGGCCCACTGCGGCCCGCCTGATTTTGTTTTGTTTTCTCTTTCTCTCTCTCTCTCTCTGTGTCTCTCTTTTGTTTTTCTCTCTCTATCTCTCTCTCTCTCTCTCTTTCTTTCCTTTTCTCTAGCTTTACGCCCCAGCGTCTTCAGCACGCAGACCACAGGAGCACGGCAGAGCAGCGCGGCAGGCCACAGGAGCGCCGCAAACAGCAGCAGCACGGCAGATTACCACGGGAGACCAGCACGGCAGACCAGTTTGGCAGCCTATCACGGCAGACCAGTACGGCAGACCACAGGAGCACGGCAGACCAACGCGGCAGACCACAGCAGCGCCGCAGACCGCAACAGCATGGCAGACCAGACGTCAGACCAGCATGGCAAACCACAGGAACATGGCAAACCAACACGGCAGACCAGCATGGCGGACCAGAGCACGGCAGACCAGAACATGGCAAGCCAGAGCACGGCAGACGGACATGGTAGACCAGCACGGCAAACCAGCATGGCAGAGTAGCAGGGCAGACCTGAGCACGGCAGGCCAAAGCACGGCAGACCGCAGGACCAGCTGAGGAACCTCACAGACGCACAGCAGATTACAGGAGCATGGCAGATCTTACAGGAACACGGCAGACCACGCAACACCATGGCAGAGCATGTGCAGCTGGACAATTCATTTGTGGCGTGTTCCCAACAATTCGAGCACCCGTGCCGATCGCCTCTGCCGTGTTGCGACGTCAGAATGTAATGGTTGCCGATCTGGTTGTCGTGGTAAAGTGTGGGGCTGTCGCGCTGGTCTTGATCTGAGCAGCTGAAGCAATTATTGCGTCGTTGCTCGCGCGACTTGCTGTCCGACCAGCTTCGCGGAACGGCCTGTTGTGTTGCTGACTCGGAACTCCATTTGAACACAGCAGGCCGAGAGTGGCCGCTAGAACCTCATGAGAGCAGTTCCAGTTTGCCCGAAGACTTTTCCTGCGGGCTCCACGCCACCGAGGAGAGCCCCAGGACGGCCCGAGAGAGTGCCAAGGGAGTTCCAAAACGGGCCTAAAGTGGCCCAGAGACGGCCTGGAAGACCCCCGAAACAGCTTCGAGATAGCCTCAACGGCCCAAGAATGCCCCAGGCGACTTTTCCGTAGCCATTTTGGGCCAAATCAGTTTGATTTCAGCCACCGTTACTAAATTATCAGGTTATTATCAATGATTTAATCGCTTCGCTCATTCCGCTAGCCCTCCCTTATTGTCGCACTTCTGTCGATGTGGTGGTGTATTCTTGAGGGGGTTGCAGTGAGAAGAGGGGGCGCCTCCTTTCCTCCCTCCTTCGTTCCCTCCCTCCCTCACCCTCCCCCCCTCGTTCCTTAGCTTGCCAGACCGCATTGCCGACCCGCGGCCGTCGCCGCCGGTGTCGCTGGCCAGGTCAACCACGTATGTTTTTCGTCGTCGTGTCGTTGTCGTCTACGCCGTCATGTATGGCGTCGTCTGTGCCGTCTTTGCCGTCTTGGTTGCCGTTTACCGTCGTCTACGGCGTCGCCTACGTTGTCTATGTCATCGTAGTCGTTGTCGCCCCCGTTAGCGTCGTCGCCGTCGCCGCCGCCGTCGTCGCCGTCCTCGTCTTCGTCGTCGTCGCCGTCCTCGTCGTCGTCGTCGTCGCCGCCGCCGCCGCCGCTGCCGCCGCCGTCACTGTCGTCGTTGTCGTCGTCGTCGTCGTCGTCGTCGCCGTCGCCGTCGCCGTCGCCGTCGCCGTCGTCGTTGCCGCCGCCGCCGCCGTTGCCGTCGTCGTTGTCGTCGTCGCCGCCGCCGCCGTCGTTGTCGCCGAAATTGGCCGTCGCCCTCGTCGTTGTCGCCGTCGTCGCCGCTGCCGCCGACCACAACCACCGCCGCCGCCGCCGCCGCCGCCGCCGCCGCCGCCGCCGCCGCCGCCGCCGCCGCCGTCGTCGTCGTCGTCGTCGTCGTCGTCGTCGTCGTCGTCGTCGCCGCCGCGCGTCGTCGTCGTCGTCGTCGTCGTCGTCGTCGTCGTCGTCGTCGTCGTCGTCGTCGTCGTCGTCGTCGTCGTCGTCGTCGTCGTCGTCGTC